ACAGAGTTGGCACGAGGACACAAAGGGATCTGATGTCGAGCCATCAAAAACTAGAGTGACCTTCATTTCCTCATGAAAGGACCTGATTAAGGAGCCAAGATGGACATCAAATCTTGGGAAGTATTTTAAAAAGGCCGTTCCTGCTATCCAAATCTAAGGCCTTTGTAAGATCTATGAAGGCCACAAAGAGTGGTTGTCATTGTTCCCTACATTTCTCCTGCAACTGTCTGAGGGAAAATATGTCAGTGGTGGATCTATTAGCCCGAAATCCACACTGTGATTCTGGATGGACTCTGTCTGCAAGCACCTGGAGCCTCTACAGCACAACATGTGCAAGCAGCTTTCTTACAATGCTGAGAAGAGAGATGCCACGGTAGCTATTGCAGTCACCCCTGTCTCCCTTGTTCTTATACAATGTGATGTTTGCATCCTTCATGTCCTGTGGTACTCCACCTTTTCTCCAGCTGCTGTGAGGTGTGATATAGGATTTATCCCAAATGAGATAAATCCAACTGCTGGTCTAATCAGTAGATGTATTATCTTGTCTGTCGCTTCAGGAAGGGAAATGTCCTGGGCCAGCTGGCCTTCCCAACTCCTAGTTTGCACAAAACAGCTTTCTCACAAATGGAGTCTCCTCCACAACCCTGCACCTTTCAGATTCCTTACCACCACCCATAACCCAGGGGTATAATTTGTCTTGCGGGACAACTGTCAAAATCTTCACTCAACCTTTTGCTTTTAACACCACACCTGAATACAAAGGCCTTTCTTTTTCCCTATATAGTCATGGAAATCCATTTCAGTCATGCTCATCTGTCCACCTACTTTCCATTTCTCTCTATCTCCCCACTGCTCCTTTTCTCAAAAAAGCTGCACAGCCACATGTCAATTACAATACAGGACTAGGTTATAATAATAAGGTGCTGGTGGTTTGTGTAAGAAAACTACTGTTGATTACTCTTGCCAAGAGTATCTTTGCGAACCACGTCACTGGGCATTTTGCCAATTACAATAACATCATTTTGTAAAATTGAACATTTAAAAACTGAACATGCCTGAAGATAAATTTCTGAAGTCAAATTTCTGAAGTCAAAATTTCTGAAGTCAAAGTAATCTATGTCATGTCTGCTTGGATATATGAAATGCATCTTTAAATAAAGAAACAGAAAGAGGGCTGAGCTGCTCTGTGAAAAATATACAGTACCTAATTAGTTTTTTCCAGAGGTAGCTTTCTCTCTTTCCTTACTAATGCTATGGCAGAGAGGCAGATAGAGTATTGAAGCTGAAAGGCTTAATATTTCTTCCTTTCACTGTAAGATATCTGATGGACAATGGCCAGAATCCAACTGATTTACACGTGTGTAAATGAAATCATTGGTGATCTGCTGCTAATTAACGTGATCCCAGTTGCATTCCTAATTACATGCCTACTGTGCAGCTTGGCATGTTAACAGGAATGCAGCCAACACGTCATTAATTATGGTAATGGGAATTAGTCACTCCAACATACATGATTTCATTTACACATTCCAGTTAATTCCTGTCCTCTTTCCTTTTTTATTCTTTTTCTCTTTATTTGATTTATTTTGTATTTTTCCCATCGCAGAATCATTTAATTAATTAATTGTTATAATTTTTTCTTGAACTTGTTATCCTTTATGTTGTAAGCCGCCTAGAGTGGTCGAAATGACTAGATAGGCGGGGTATAAATACAATAAATAAATAAATATTGGCCAAATAATGGCCAACAGGATTTGCCACTTAAAATCTGTTCCTCTGTAAGGTATCACAGGACTGTTTGCTGGTTTTGTTGCAATATTTGTTCCCCCCTACTCCAAAAGGAATCCTTATTTGGAAAGTATATTAGGTGCTGGGATTTTTGCAAATCTTGTGGGACTTAATATACTTAATATACCATTGGCCCAAATCCTCTTACCTTGTTATACTGGCATAGCACAAATGTAATGTTTGGAGATGAATTGGCACAAGAAGTCACTGTAGACGTTGTCATTTGTAAACTGAATTGTATGACTCATCATGCAATTGATAATGTCTTCAGTGATTTTTAACTTGGGACACATTACTTCCCAATGTTACACCATCTACTACATAGTTGTGCAAGAGAATTTTGGCCAGTGCGTTTCACCTCATGCTTCACAGTCAAGGAAGAACGCTAATGCAGGGGCCCTTGGACACATATTACATATATCTATGTCTATTTAATTAAGGTTTCAATCCCACTTTCATCTGGGACTTATTTCCAGGTGAGTTTGAGATTAGAACCTTAACATTTCAGAAATTCTAAGTACAGTGGTGCCTCGCTTAACGAGTGCCTCGTTTAGCGATGAATTCGCATAACGATGTGATTTTTAAAGAAAATAATATGCATCATATAACAATGTTTCCTATGGGCGATTTTCGCTTAGCGAAGTTTGGGGCCATGCTTCGCATAACGAATGCGATTTTAGGTCCCCTGCTTCACTTAACAATGTTTCTTTTTTCAATTTAAAAAGTGTCTTAGAAGGTCAAAAATGGTTCTAAATGCGTGGATTCGTTAGAGGACCCCCTAAGTCGTGTGCAAACCTGATTTGGCTTTGATCTGACTTTTTGTTAATTTATGGTGAATTTTTTTTTCGGCCCATAGGAACCAATGGAGCTGTCAAAATCTGACAGCTCCATTGGTTCCTA